ACTTCTGGTGGTTATAGCTCCCATGGCTTTTCTCTTAGGCCCACTTTGCTCCTTCTTGGCAGCTTTCCTTAGACAATCCACATTTCTGGTTTCTCCAAATGTTTAGGGCCTCCACTGCACCTTTGGCTTCTCACTCACAGCTTTACACACTGCCTACTGAGGGACACACTCAGAAGGTCTCTCAAGGCATTCTGAAATTGAAGTGGAAGTCTTTGATCTCATAACTCTTGCATTCTGCATGCACCTAAAACCAGTGACAAGTGGATGATGCCAAGGTCTGCTGCCAGCTGGAGCAGTAGCCAGGCTTTTCTCTCTCTTGGTTGTAGGGGTCAAGTGCGTGGATTGCTGGGCACTCTGAATCCAATTCTGAGGAACAAATTCTCTATGCTGCCGCCATTCTGGAACATGGTGCTCTGTGGCTTTTTCCTCAAAGCAAAATCTTTCACTTTTGCAGTTTTGAGGCTGCAAAGGGTAGAGACTTGCTGCTGCTTTTGATGCCCTCAGGCCATCTTTTATATTCTCCTGTTTCTTCTCAGCAGTCGAAATCTCAGTTATGTCTTTGTAGTCATGGCTTTACTGGAGCTTCCTTTTTGACCAAACTCACAACATTTTAAATCATCTTGCTGGGCTCTTTTCTCTTGATTTTCAACACAAATCTGGCAAAAAGACCCCAACAATAGTCATGCCAGAGCCTCAACATTTCACTGCCTTGAAATTTCTTCTGCCAGTTTAATTAGTCCACCACCCTTGATCTCAGTCTCAGGCAAAGTCTCTGGACATGAGCAAAATGCAGACAATCTTTTTGCCAAGCCATAACGCACATCATCTGGAGTCCAACAATGAATGCAGTCCTTCTTATCAGAAACCTCCTGAGCTTGGTCTTTACTGGCTTTCTGGTCTTCTGAGCTCTGACTAGAATCTCCCGAACAGAACAGTCTAAGATATTCCAGCTCCACTTTTTCAACCAGTGTCTCCAAACTTTTTAAAACTCTTCCACAAGCCATTCCCAAAAGCTCTTGAACCACATGGTCAGGTATAGTCACAGCAATGGCCCCACTCCCAGTACCAGATTCTGTCTTGGTTCCTTTTCTCACATTGCTAGGATAAAATACCCAACACCCAAAATTAGTGAAGGAAAAGTTTATTTAGCTCACAGTTTGTGGATGTTTCAGTCCACACTCAGCTGGCCCCAAGGCAGAGTGGCATGGCACAGGAGCAACAGTTTAAGGCAGCAGAAGACAGCAAAACCAACAAGAGCAAAAAGGGG